TTTCTCCAGGAGCCATTACCTCATATACGTAGGGAGGGGGCTCTGTGTGCAGGGAGATGCCAGGTATCTTTAACTGGAATAGGGCCCCATCTTCTCTGCAACAATACCAAAGTCCAAATGGGAAAAACAGCTGTGAGGGCATAATTTTGCAACAGTGTATAACATTTGTTCAAGGAGGTTAGGTTTTTTTTGTTGTTTTGTTTTGTTTTGTTTTGTTTTTTGAGATAGAGTTTTCGCTCTTGTTACCCAGGCTGGAGTGCAATGGCGCGATCTCGGCTCACTGCAACCTCCGCCTCCTGGGTTCAGGCAATTCTCCTGCCTCAGCCTCCTGAGTACCTGGGATCACAGGCATGTGCCACCATGCCCAGCTAATTTTTTGTATTTTTAGTAGAGACGGGGTTTCACCATGTTGACCAGGATGTTCTCGATCTCTTGACCTCGTGATCCACCCGCCTCGGCCTCCCAAAGTGCTGGGATTACAGGCATGAGCCACCTCGCCCGGCCTGGAGGTTAGTTTTTTAAAAAGTAGCAGCAGCGGCTTAAAGTTGGGTGGAACCTAGTATTCAGTTTATTACTGAGGAGAAACAGGTATATGGCCTTCTTAAAAATGTACCTTCCTCCTTTTATATATTCAGATTATATGTCTATATAATTTTTCTTTTGTATATTAAGTTCATATTAGATACATCAACCCTTGATAAAAGCTGGAAGCTTCCTATTGGATTGTAATTCTGAAAAGGCATTGCTGTAGAGTTAACCAAAGGAACAACATTCAAGCATTCATTACATACATATTTTTAGAAACCTACTTCATGCCAAGGTCCATGCCGGGTGCTGAGGGCAGAGCAGGCGCATGTCATCCCTGCCTGGTCTTGTGGCTTTCTCGTGGCCTGCTTTGATAGAGGGCTCATACCGGCCCTGTCTAGGCTCACTTTCTCCAAGCAGTCATATTTTTCAGATCGAAATAATGCACTTTGGAGTAGACACCTGTCAGGCTTGTGGCTGCTCAGAGTCTTGAATATTCATCCTAGACCTGGGGATTTTCCCTACAATTCCTGCCTCCCTAAGACAGAATCCAGAGCTCAGTTTCCCAGCCCCTCCTGCAGCTTGGGCACCTAGGGATTGCCAGTGGGTGCGATCATATGACTCAGAAGAGAGTGACCCAGGATACAGGTTTCATGGGGATGAGGGTGGAAGACTCTGGCTTTCCAGGGCAGCATTAATGAAGTTTTCGGCATTGAGGGTCCAGCAGTGTGAGCTGTGGGGGTGTCACTGCAGCTGGCCAACAGAATGACTAGTTTCTGACTGTGCAGACTGTAGGCCTCTCTGGCCATACCAGACATAGTGAGCTACCTAAGATTCTCAATTATCTATCTTTTAAAACTAGTGAGAGTGAGTTCTGTTCTTTGCAAAGAACTGTGACGAATACATATACTGAACTAGTATTACCTGCCAAAATCCAGGTTGACACATTCCTACCTTACATAAACTTCATAAAAATCATTTAAGGGGCTGGGCGCGGTGGCTCAAGCCTGTAATCCCAGCACTTTGGGAGGCCAAGGCGGGTGGATCATGAGGTCGAGAGATCAAGACCATCCTGGTCAACATGGTGAAACCCCGTCTCTACTAAAAATACAAAAAAATTAGCTGGGCATGGTGGCGCGTGCCTGTAATCCCAGCTACTCAGGAGGCTGAGGCAGGAGAATTGCCTGAACCCAGGAGGCGGAGGTTGCGGTGAGCCGAGATCGCGCCATTGCACTCCAGCCTGGGCAACAAGAGCAAAACTCCGTCTCAAAAAAAAAACAACAAAAAAACCTAAGTAGGAACAGCCGGGCGCGGTGGCTCACGCCTGTAATCCCAGCACTTTGAGAGGCTGAGGCGGGTGGATCACGTGGTCGAGAGATAGAGACCACCCTGGTCAACATGGTGAAACCCCGTCTCTACTAAAAATAGAAAAAATAAGCTGGGCATGGTGGCATGTGCCTGTAATCCCAGCTACTCAGGAGGCTGAGGCAGGAGAATTGCCTGAACCCAGGAGGCGGAGGTTGCGGTGAGCCTAGATCGCGCCATTGCACTCCAGCCTGGGTAACAAGAGCGAAACTCCGTCTCAAAAAAACAAACAAAAAAAAATCATTTAAGGGCTGGGCGCGGTGGCTCATGCCTTTAATCCCAGCACTGTGGGAGGCTGAGGTGGGAGGATCACGTGAGCCCAAGAGTTCCAGACCACCCTGGACAACACATTGAGATCCCCGTCTCTATGATTTAAAAATTCTTTTAAGGTATGAATTACTACACATTTTACAGCTGAAAAAACTGAGACTCAAAAAGACAATTTTATTCATTCTACAAATATTAATTAAAGGCTAACCATGTGCCAGCCACCAGGCATAGAATAGGGAACAAAATATTTTCCCTGCAGCTATATAAAAAGAATGGCATTGTACTTTAAATGCCCCCTTGCCAAAATAAGAGGCACAGGACAACAGCTGTCTGGAGACGCCCTCAAGCCAGTCAGGCCCCATTTTAAATATAGAAACCCCTAAAAATAGCCGCCTGTACTCCAGACTCAACAGGTGATTGGCCAGAGAGGGGAGGAGACCCCAGGCCCCAGGAAGGAGAGCCAGGACAGTACTGGTTCCCGGCTCCCCACACCGCCATGGCTTTGCCGCTGAGGCCCCTGAGCCGGGGCTTGGCCAGCGCTGCCAAAGAAGGCCACGGAGGGGCAGGTGAGTGGGGAGCGGGCGGATGCCGGGACTCCCCGACCCTGCCCACCTGTTCCCGGGCCCGCCCCCCCAGGCCCGCCGCGTTCACTTCGCTCCGCCCGCAGGTCGCACCTGGCGCCTGCTGACCTTCGTGCTGGCGCTGCCGAGCGTGGCCCTCTGCACCCTCAACGCCTATCTCCATTCAGGTCACCGCCCGCGCCCTGAGTTCATTGCCTACCCCCACCTCCGCATCCGTACCAAGGTACCCGGGACCGGCGCGCGGGGGGCGCGGGACAGGCGAGCGGTTGGGAGGCGAGGGACGGGCGCACTGGGGACGCGGCGGCGGGGGTTGGTGCGGGATGTGTGCGCAGGGACGCGGGAGGGGGAGAGTGCGGGGGGCCGGAGCCCGATTTAGGGCTCTCACGCGCGCTCCCTCTTCCGCTCTCTCTGCAGCGCTTCCCCTGGGGGGACGGCAACCACACTCTGTTCCACAATTCCCACGTCAACCCTCTGCCCACGGGTTACGAAAGCCCCTGAGGCCCCGGACGCCCACGGGTGCAATAAAGGTGTGAAGCTTCACGTCCGTGACTCTGTGGAGAGGGCGGGGCCGCGGGGAGCGCTGGCAAGTGCGGTAAGCGCTCCTGTTCCACGCATGCACGCAGCTCGGTGGGCGCTCCAGGTGTTTTTCCCACGTCGCTGATACTGGGGTGTTCCTCCCCCACGCACAGGTAGGTGATCCCAGGTCCCTCTCTCACCTGGTAATAATGAGTCCTCTCTCTCACACACACCTATTAATAATTAGGGATCTAGGCTGTAATGGGCTTCCCTATACACTGAATCCCCACAGTAACTCTGAGAGCAGGGTAAAATTTTGGTTCCCCTTCTCCAGCGGAGGGGAACCTCTGGAGAGGAATCTCAAAGGAGGAATCTCCAGAGGAGGGGAATCTCAGGAGATTCTCAGGGATTAAATGACTTGTCCAAGTTTGGGCAGCCTGTTCTCCTGGGAGTCCAGGGCTGCAGATCCTGAAGTCCACTTTCGCCTGACACCTGAGCCACTGGTGTCTCTGAATCCCAGCTATCTGGATTTCAGATACAGGCTCCACAGTCCTGTGTCTGGCCTGGGGACCTAACACTGGATTTGGAATCTTTTGGTTATTCTCTATGACCTTTCTTAATGGGGCTTCTATTTGGGGAATCACATGCTCCTAGCCTGGCTCTCCTGGCTTCTGGGTACCCCATTCAAGGGGGATAGGAGTTCAGATGAGCGCTGGACATTTCATGTTGGAAACAGATGCTCAGTGCTGCAAAGAAAAATTCGCACTGAGACAAAGGATCTCTCAGCAAGGCAATTTTTACTTCCTGCAGGAAGGATGCCCTCACTAGCCATCTTACCACATGAGTTCAATAAACAAAGGAAAACACACATATTTATCCCTTACACATTTGGGGTTGTCCTTACTGCTGTGTCTGATCTCCATTGGTTGGAGCCAGACCTCACAATCTAAACTAAAACCTGATTCGCTAACAACTTAAAACTTTTCTAAAAAGGTAAAAGCAATGGAGAACAGAAAGGAAGTCCAAATAAGGAAAGGGCATAGGCTGCAAGTGGGGACATGCCTGGGGGCACGTTCAGCACAGATATTTTGGTTAAAGTTCAAGGACATAGAATGTACTATGTGCCTGTAAGCATGTCTAACAGCTACACAGGATAGTGCTTAACAAAGAGTTATTAACAACAAGCAAGAAGGATTTATTCTTTAACAAGAAAAGAAACTTCGAAGAGGAATTTTTCTACTTCCCACATTTACCTCCTAGGTGAGTCTGCCCTAGGACAGTCTTGCCATTATGGAGGAACCTGAAGTGTGTTCGGAAACCCATGATCGAGGCATGCCTGTGTGTGTGCGCATACACACACACACACACACTCTGACCCTCTCCCCGATACACCTCTCAGCCCTATTAAGAAAAGATGACCGTGCTGAACATGGTGGCTCACACCTGTAATACCAACACTTTGGGAGGCCGAGGCAGGCAGATTACAAGGTCAGTAATTCAAGACAAGTCTGACCAATATGGTGAAACCCCATTTCTACTAAAAATACAAAAATTAGCCAGGTGTGGTGGCATGTGCCCATAGTCCCAACTACTCAGGAGGCTGAGAAGAGGAGAATCGCTTGAACTCGGGAGGCGGAGGTTGCAGTGAGCCAAGATTGCCCTGCTGCACGCCAGCCTGGGTGGCAGAGCAAGACTCTGTCTCAAAAAAAAAAAAAAAAAAAAAAAACAGAAAGAAAGAAAGAAAAAGAAAAGACAACCTCAGGCATCCGTTGCCATAGAAAGTGAGAGAACTTTTTCACTGCCCACAAATAGGTTTCTCCAGTTATTCCCAGACTGGCACTCAGGTCCTTGGGTTAGAGCTCTCCCATGCAAGGAAAGTGTGCTATAAACACCCTCATTTCATGTGACATTTCTTATACATATGAAATTTTATGTCGGTACCATGCCTGCTTCTGTAAAAAGTGGGTCATTGCTGAAAAAGGTAGACAGACATGTAAAAATATTATAATCTCTATCTCTCTGAGAAGGTGCTTAGCACCTGGTAGGTTGCTCAGGCCAGTGCAGATCTATGCAGAAGTTGTATCCATGTAAGTTGATTTATGGGTGCAAGGAAGACCAGCTGACAGGGGTAGAGACAAACAGAAAAGTGGATTAGGACATAGCCACATTTGGGGCCACACGGCTGAAATCCTCCTCATTGAATGTGGCAGTGTCTTCAGGCTTGTCGTCCAGCATTTCCTTGTAGTGGCGTTTGAAGAAGCCAAGCTATCAGGGGAAGTAAATTAGAAAAGCTGGGTAAGGCTGGGCACGGTGGCTCATACCTATAATCCCAGCACTTTGGGAAGCTGAGGCAGGTGGATCACCTGATGTCAGGAGTTCGAGACTAGCCTGGCCAACATGGTGAAACCCCATCTCTACTAAAAATACAAAAATTAGCCCAGTGTGGTGCCATGCGCCTGTAATCCCAGCTACTCAGGAGGCTGAGGCAGAATTGCTTAAACCCAGGAGGCGGAGGTTGCAGTGAGCCGAGATCATGCCATTGCACTCCAGCCTGGGTGACACAGCAAGACTCCATACCAAAAAAGAAAAAGAAAGAAAAAGAAAAAAGAAGAGCTGGGGAAGAGGGCCGGGAAGAAAGCTGGGAGTAAGAAGAAGCTGAGAGAGAAGAGGAGACGACAGCTAAGCTAATATGTTTGTGTGCAAGAACATTTATGTGAACAACAGTTATCATATATCAAGTATCTGCTGGCCCCAAGCACAGCAGGTACGCACATGACCGTAGCAGGACAGCATAGATGCAGGCAGGTCTGTGCACGTGCCCTGGCCTCTTTCTCTCTCACTTCAGCCACTCTGTGATATAAGCATTATTATCATTTCAAAAATGACAAATGGCCGGACACAGTGGCTCACACCTGTAATCCAAGCCTTTTGGGAGGCCAAGGTGGGCGGTTCACATGAGATGAGGAGTTCGAGACCAGCCTGGCCAACATGGTGAAACCCCATCTCTACTAAAAATGCAAAAACTAGCCGGGTGAGGTGGTGTGTGCCTGTAGTCCCAGCTACTTGGGAGGCTGAGGCATGAGAATCTCTTGAATCCAGGAGGTGGAGATTGCAGTGAGCCAAGATTGCACCACTGCACTCCAGCCTGGGTGACTGAGGCAAAAAAAAAAAAAAAAAAAAAAAAGAGAGAGAGAGAAACAAATTCAGAGATTTGGTGCGACTTCCCTAACATTAAACAGTGAGTACATGATAGAGACAAAATGTGTGTCCAGGCCTGCTTGCCTCCACAGATACCTGAGTTCTCACTATACCACCCTGTCTGTAGGAGGGCTTGGGTTGGATTCTGGCGATGTTAAGAGTGGGATAAGCCCAGACGTGTTGGCTTACGCCTGTAATCCCAGCACTTTGGGAGGCCGAGGCAGGTGGATCATCTGAGGATAGATGATCGAGACCAGCCTGGCCAACATAGTAAAACCCTGTCGCTACTAATAATACAAAAAACTAGCTGGGCGTGGTGGAGGGCGCCTGTAATCCCAGCTACTCAGGAGGCTGAGGCAGGAGAATCGCTTGAACCCGAGAGGCAGAGGCTGCAGTGAGCTGAGATGGCACATTGCACTCCAGCCTGGGCAACAAGTGGAAACTCCATCTCAAAAAAAGAAAAAAAAAAAAAAAAAAAAAGAGTGGGATTAAACACTTGCCTTGTACAGTGCAGCTGTCATGAGCGCCAGCAGCAGCAGACCCCCTACAGAGCTGCCCATGACGAGGGGGGTGGCATTGTAGTCCTTGTATTCTTCTAGCACGGTCTCCATCTGATTTAGAGATCAGAGAGCACCCGGCCTCCTGCCATCCCAGATGCCTCCCAGGTTCCCCAATGGTTATTTCCCTCCTTTCCTCCCCGAGTCCCTGCTCCAAGGGGTGAGACTTTAGGGACAGCTGTCCTGCCCAAAGACCTTCACCCTCCTCTCCCAGGCTTACAAACCCCCACCCAGCATAGCTGATGGAGCCCCAGGGGCCCTCTTTCCAGCCTGGCCACTGCCCCGACACAGTCTCTACCTGAGCGCTCATAAATGCCTCCTGTCCCGGAAGCTGGGAGTACACGGATGTGTCGAATGTCATTTCAGCCACACTCATGACGGATACCTTCTTCTGTGACATCTGCAAAGGGGTTGGGGAAACCTATGGATCTGGCTCTGGGGAGGTTCAGAGCTCCGGGGACAGCCTGGCTTGCAGATGGGCACAGACATGCCAGGTCCCGCCTGAGTCCGGGGCAGGGGCTCTGCCATTGCACCCACGCACCTGGCGGACCCAGCCAAAGCTGAGGTTGCCCTTCAGGGTGAAGTCCAGCTCCTCCTGGACGCTGAAGGAGGGGACGTCACAGCGGAACCGCAGGCAGCCAGCAATGGAGCAGTCCTGGGGGCAGAAGAGGGGTGAAGCTGAGGGGTTCTTCACTGAGGAAGGAACCATAGGAAAAAATATGGTCAGATTTGGGGTGGGGGACAGATGAACAGTTATAGGACATTTCCCGGGATGACAGTTATAGCAGTACATTTCCCGGGGTACCCCAGTGGGGGCTGATCTTGCGATGGGGGTTCAGGGCCCTTCTCACCAGCACGGGACTTCTGGAAATCTGGGTCAGGAAGTCAGAATGCCGGGGAAGTTTTTTCTCTGATACACAGGGCAGACTCTGGGGAGAGAGAGAAGCACTTAGCCACAGAATGAGCGACACGTCCCTGATAAGAGGGAGTGCGGTGCTGTGGGATGTCAGTCTGGAGATAGAGGAGAGGTGGGCGGGTACCTGGGCTGGGGCTTCCACGACCGCATCCCACACAGCCACACCGTTCAGCAGGACAGGAGCCCAGAAGTTAACGCTGACGGCCAGACCTCGCTGGCTGAGGTTTTTCACCTGCAGGAAACAGTGCACAGTGCTACTGTGGTCCCTGGAGCCTCCCACGTCCCACTTCCCTCCTGGCCCCACTCCAAGGCGCCTCTCCATCTTCTCCACCAACTTCCAGCTTTCTCCACGCTGTGGAAGGCAGACGTGGATACTCCCTAGGCTCTCACCCGGTAGCGATGCTCTATCTCTTTCATTTTCTTCTCATCGAAGGTTGAAAAGTTCAAGTACTTGGTGGATTCTTCCTGCCTGGAGAGAGAGAACCTGTTGGTGAAAAACAGACCTGAAACTGTCCCCAGTTGTACCCTGTCCTACTGCAGAGAGCTCTGTTGGGCCGCGAAGATGTCTCAGGGAAATAGTGATGGTCCCACCTATTGGTGGTGGCTCATGCCTGTAATCCCAGCACTTTAGGAGGCCAGGGCAGGAAGATCGCCTGAGCCTAGAAGTTCCAGACCAGCTAAGGCAACATAGTGAGACGCGGTCCCTATTCAAAATAAATAAATGAAAGATGGTCCCACATAATCTCTGCCACCTCGGCTTCAGCACCCGTCCCTCCAGAGTCCCTCGAATCACCCAGATCCTCTACCTCTGCCCTGCACACCACTGGCTCTTTCATAGCCTCGTGACTTTGCTCCAGCTCTTCCTGGAACATTCTTACTCTCTCTCCCTTTGGAAATCTACACCTAAAGGCCCAACTTAAGCCTCACCCCTCCTAACGTTCAAACATTTTCACATGGAGCAAAGGTGTTTGCATTGCTTTCTCCAGTACGTAGTGGTTGGCCTCTGGTAATGCTTGCAGAGACTGCACCAGAACAAGCTAGCCTAAGGGGGCTCTAGGAATGAGAGCTGGGTCACTCAGGAAGACATGGAGTGAGGGCCCCTTCATGGTGGGAGTGAAGAACATAGATTAATCTGTCCTGAGGCAGGACACACAAGCCTGTGGAAGGGACATCAGTGTTCCAGGCGGCGGGTGGGGTCTATCCATGTAACCATCCTTCAGCAAACACAGGCTGTGCGTTGGCACTGCGGATTCAAGTTAAGCCATACGCCCTGCCCTCTCACCACTTAACATCTAAAGTTTTACTAGAAATGAGCAAGCTGGCCAGGCGAGGTGACTCACTCCTGTAATCCCAACACTTAGAGAGTTAGGATCGCTTGAGCCCAGGAGTTCGAGACTGGCCTGGACAACATAGAGAGACCTCATCTCTGCAAAAAATTAAAAAAAAAAATAAAAATTAGCTGCGCATGGCGGTACACACCTGGGGTCCCAGCTGCTCAGGAGGATGAGGCAGGAGATTGTGTGAGCCTGGGAGGTCAAGGCTGCAGTGAGCTGTGACCACTGCCTTCCAGCCTGGGCAACAGAGTGAGACCGTGTCTCAAAAAAACCCAAAAAAACGAAAAAAAGGCAAAAGCAAGCAGACCAGCAGAGGGGGGGCCTGCACCTCGCAAGCAGCAGCCAGACCAGCCGCACGGAAACTCTGGGTGCCAGCACTCTACTCCCTATCAGCCTGATGATGAAGAACACGGGCTCCAATGTCAAACCGCTTGGGTTCACGTCTCAGGTCTGCCACTTCCTAGCTTAGTCACCAAGGCAAGCCACTTCACGTCTCTGGAGCCTGTAGCTTTTCCCTCTTTAAAATAGGGATTCCAAAATAAAATAAAATAAAATAGGGATTCCAACATAGCGTCTCCCTGTCGTAGAGTTGTGACCAGGGCTTGGCAGTGCCAGCATACAGGGAGTCTTCCATAAATTTAGGGTTTATTTTTCCCTAAGTATGCTGGCTGTGCTCTGTGCCCCTAGCCCAAACCCTTCTCTCTATGCTTCTGTTTTCTCACCTTAAAATCTAGTTCTAAACCTCTTTTCATTTTTTTAAATTTAATTTTATTTTCCTTTTTATTTATTTTTTGTTAGAGATGAGGTCTTACTCATGCCTGTAATCCCAGCACTCGGCCTCCCAAAGTTCTGGGATTACAGGCATGAGCTACCATGCGCAGCCTAAGCCTGTTTTCAGATCTAAGTAAACCACCCAGCTTCCCCCAGTCTTCAGAGGGGCATGCCATGTACGGCTGTGGGCACGGACTCTGTAGCCAAACTGTCTGGGTCTGATTCCTGGTTCTGTTGCTTACTTGGAGATTGACAGGAGGAACATATTTCAGTTCTTGATGTCTTTGTTGGTGAAAATGGGGATAACAATTTAATTATTGGGAGAATCAAATAAATGTAAATACATGTAAAGTATTGTGACAATGCAGGAAAACCACCGTAAGACAACAGCAACTTGAAACGATGCCTGGCATGGGTATATATAACTGTAAGCTCTTATTGTAAGTATTTTCCTGTGGATAGAAAGGGAAACTTACATGTGGCTTGAAAGGAGAATGATACTCCTTGATCTCTCTCTCTCCTTCCCCTAACAACTTCATACATCAGAAGCAACAGTGGCCAGGCATGGTGGCTCATGCCTGTAATCACAGCACTTTGGGAGGCTGAGACGGGTGGATCACCTGAGGTCGGGAGTTCAAGACCAGCCTGGCCAACATGGTGAAATCCCGTCTCTATTAAAATTACAAAAATTATCCAGGCGTGGTTGTGCATGCCTGTAATCCAGCAACTCGGGAGGCTGAGGCAGGAAAATTGCTTGAACCTGGGGGGTGGAGGCTGCAGTGAGCCCAGATTGCACCACTGCCCTCCAGCCTGGGCGACAGAGCGAGACTCCATCTCAAAACAAACAAACAAACAAAAAAACAAAAGCAGAAGCAGCAAACTGTCCCACGGCAATATTACGGGCTTTCAGCCACAGTGTGTGGGATGCCTCGCTCTGCATCCAGCCTGGCCTGCCCCTGAACCTCCACCCCCCTGCAGAGAACCCTCCTGCCCTCAGCCCTACACTCACCCTTCCTGTGCCGCCTCAGCTGGGCTCTTAGAGACCTTCCCAACAGTTTCTCACACCTCTGCACCACTCTGAGTTTTATAGAAACCTGACCTTTCCTCCGTGTGGTGACAGACCATATCCTGTTGGGCACAAGCTCCCCAATTCAGGGTGCTCAGAAAAGCCTTGATCTGCATCTAGCAGCTTTGCTTCAGCACATTCACACTTGGTACAAAGGACAAGATTTGTTTCATGTTTAAAAAAAAAAAAAAAAAAAAGAAGAAGAAACAGCTTTCCTTTTGGAGGGAGGGGGGAAAGGCTCCGCGGTGGCAAAGTATGTGTGTCCCACCAGCAAGTCAATTTGAGAGAAGCAGCAAGAGCTATGTATATATTACTAGGTTACAAATACACTAAGGATACATTCCGAGAAATTCATCATTAGGGAATCTCTCTCTCTCTCTCTCTCTCTCTCTCTCTCTCTCTCTCTCTCTCTCTTTCCCCTTCCTTCCTTCCTTTTTTTTTTTGACAGTCTTGCTCTGTCACCCCGGAGCTGGAATGTAATGGCGCAATCTCGGCTCACCACAATCTCTGCCTCCCAAATTCAAACAATTCTCCTGCCTCAGCCTCCCCCATAGCTGGGATTATAGGGATGTGCCACTGTGCCCAGCTAATTTTTGTGTTTTCAGTAGAGACAGGGTTTCACCATGTTGGCCAGGCTGGTCTTGAACTCCTGACCTCAGGTGATCCTCCTGCCTCGGCCTCCCAAAGTGCAAGGATTACAGGTGTGAGCCCCACATCTGGCCTTAGGCAATTTCATCATTGTGAAACCTCATAGTTTGCAAACCTAGATGGTAGAGCCTACTGCACAGCTAGGTGATGTGGTGTAGCCTAGTGCTCCTGTACTACAAACCTGTGTGGCATATTACTCTACTGGATACTGTAGGCAATTGTAACACAATGGAAAGTAATTGTGTGTCTAGACATTTTTAAAAGGCAATGATTTGCACTATAACGTTACAACTGCTGACATTACCAGGTGATAGGAATTTTTCAGCTCCATTACAATTTTAGGAAACCGTTGTCATAAATGGGGGTCCATTGTTGACAGAAACTTTTTTTTTTTTTGAGACAGAATCTCGCTCTGTTGCCCAGGCTGGGGTGCAGTAGCACAATCTCAGCTCACTGCACCTCCACCTCCTGGTTCAAGAGATTCTCCTGCCTCAGCCTCCCGAGTAGCTGGGATTACAGGCACGTGCCACCACGCCCAGCTATTTATTTATTTATTTTAGACAGTCTTGCTCTGTCACACAGGCTAGAGTGCAGTGGTGTAATCTTGGCTCACTGCAACCTCCGCCTCGCGGATTCAAGTGATTCTCCTCCCTCAGCCTCCCAAGTAGCTGGGATTGCAGGCATGTGCCACCACACCCAGCTAATTAATTTTGTATTTTTAGTAGAGATGGGGCTTCACCATGTTGGCCAGGCTGGTCTGGAATTCCTGACCTCAGGTTATCCACCTGCCTCAGCCTCCCAAAGTGCTGTGATTACAGGTGTGAGCCACAGCGCCCGACCCAGAAACATCTTTATGCGGCATAAACATCATTATATATGGTTTTTCACCCACAAAGCTGTCCCGAGACAGCAGAGCTTAGATGTACATCATTGGAAGAACATCCTGGGACTCAGAGGGAGGTACCAGACGTAGAGGAAGGCCACAGGGCCAAGGGGAGGGCCAGGGACTGGGCACCTGCTGATCACGGTGTAGACCGCATACTTCACTGGGAGCTCCAGCTGGAAGGTGGCCTTGCTGCTTGAAGCCTTATTGTTCTCACTGGAGAGAGAGGGGACCAACAGGAAGGAATCCAGGAGAGGGATGTCTAGCCGGGACATGAGATGGAGGGTAGGGGACCCCTGGCCTGGACCCACCTGCTTGCACTGGCCTTCATCAGCATCCTGTCTCCTAGGGTGGCCTTGTAGGAGACATCAAATGTGACTATGAAGGTGCCCTGAGGGAAGAAGGAGGAAGGAATGGAGACAAAAAGAAGGCCATGGGGGAGTGAGGGACAGATCGGGACAAGGGAGGAGGGCAGTGATGGGGACTTTAGGGGAGGCACTGACGTTACAGCCCTCGTGAAAGATGGGGTGGTTGACGCTGCAGCGGCTGCTCCTCAGGCCCTCGTTCTCAGTGGGCACTGCCTCACATGCCAGGCGCAGGGCGCATTGATGGGGCTGCTTCTAGAGGAGTTGAATGAATTTTAAAAAGTTACCCACGTGCATGTGTGGGCTTGATACGCAGTAGTGGTGGCGCTGCAGAGCAGCAGGGAAAAGGACAGACTTTTTCTTTTTCTTTACTTTTTTTTTTTTTTTTTTTTTTTTGAGATGGAATCTCTTGTCACCCAGGCTGGAGTGCAATGGCATGATCTTGGTTCACTGCAACCTCCACCTCCCAGGTTCAAGCAATTCTCCTGCCTCAATCTCTCGAGTAGCTGGGATTACAGGTGCCTGCCACCATACCCAGCTAATACTTTTGTATTTTTAGTAGAAATGAGGTTTCACCATGTTGGACAGGCTGGTCTCAAACCCCTAACCTCAGATGATCCGCCCACCTTGGCCTCCCAAAATGCTAGGATTACAGTTGTTAGCCACCACGCCTGGCCAATGACAGACTTTTCAATCAATTTCCATCAATGCAAGGAAAATGGACTCATACAAAGAAAAAAAAAAGAAGAAGAAGAAGAAAAATAAAGAACGAGAGGAAGAGGAGGAGGAGAATGAAGAAAGAAGAAAAAGAAATTGGATCCCTACCTCACTCCATAAATTAAAATAAATTCCAAATGGATTAAAGACTTAAATGTGAAAAAGCAAAATGATGAAGCATTTGGAAAATAATATAGGGAGCTATTTTTATAACCTGGAAGTGTTTTTTAAACAAGACGCACACACAGAAACAATATGGTCAGGCACAGTGGCTCACGCCTGTAATCTCAGCACTTTGGGAGGCTGAGGTAGGAGGATTACTTGAGCCAGGAGTTTGAGACCAGCCTGGGAAACATGGTGAAACCCTGTCTCTAAAAAATAAGTAAGTAAAATAAAAAATAAAAAATTAGCTGGTGGTGGTGGCATGCACCTGTAGTCCCAGCTACTCAGGAGGCTGAGGTGGGAGGGTTGCTTGAGCCCAGGAGGTCTGGGCTGCAGTGAATGGTCATTGTGCCACTGCACTCCAGCCTGGATGACAGAGTGAGACTCTGTCTCAAAAAAAAAGAGAGAGGGAGGGAGGGAAGGAAGCAAGGGAGGAGGGGAGGGAGGGAGGGAGGGAAGGATCGAGAGAAGGAGAGGGAAATACAAGGAAATGATGACCACAAAGTCAGAATAATCATGACCTTTGGCGAGAGAGTGGATCTGTGATGGGGAAAGGCACACGGGGAGAAGGTACTGGGGATGCCAGCAGTGATTTATTTCTTGACCTGGATGTTAACTCTATGGTTTGTTTAATATTATTCATTAAACTGTACATATGCTTTATGCACTTTCTCTCTGTCTGTCTCTGTGTGTGTGTGTGAGAGAGAGAGAGAGAGAGAGAGACAGAGACAGAGAGAGAGACAGAGAAAGAGAGAGAAAGAGAAAGCATATCAAAGAATTTTTTTTTTTTTTTTTTTTTTTTTGAGACGGAGTTTCGCTCTTGTTACCCAGGCTGGAGTGCAATGGCACGATCTCGGCTCACCGCAACCTCCGCCTCCTGGGTTCAGGCAATTCTCCTGCCTCAGCCTCCTGAGTAGCTGGGATCACAGGCACGCGCCACCATGCCCAGCTAGTGTTTTGTATTTTTAGTAGAGACGGGGTTTCACCATGTTTACCAGGATGGTCTCGATCTCTTGACCTCATGATCCACCCACCTCGGCCTCCCAAAGTGCTGGGATTACAGACTTGAGCCACCGTGCCCGGCCACAGAAGAATTTTAAAGAACATTCTATAACTCCCAGGTCTGCGGGGCAGGAGACAGGCTCCCTCCCACTAGAGCCTGCAGCAATTGTTACCTGGGCTCCGTACACACGTCGGTGGGACAGCCCAGCTGGGTAGTAGAGGCTGACGACAGTCCCATAGGAATCCTCGCCCGCATTCCACAGAGTCACAATCACGTTGAGCTCCAGGGACTGCCCCACGGTCAGAGTTTTCAGGCTAAGGGGGAAGGATGAGGCTGGGAGTGGGACTCCACTGGAAATTGGCGGGAACTGGGAAGGGCAGGGCAGGACCCTGGGAACTCCAGGGCTCTGGGCTGATAACATCCCAGGCAACATGATTGTTAGAAAGACAGCCAGAGAGCAGCACAAGCACTTCTCATTCCAGGAGGGCTGGGGACTTGGAAGCTCGAGGGTCTGGATATGAAAGGAGTTTACAGCTCACCCTGAGAAGCTGAGGGTGATACCCAGGTCCCCTTCACAGAGGTCATCTTGCCCACAGTTCTTCTCAAAGGGGAGCTGCAGCAAAACAGTATATTCTGTTTCCATCTTACGTCTTAGTCTTTCTCCAAGCCCTTCGTTAGAGGTGCCCACCCACATTGAGCATCACTAAGCCGCTGCCCCCAGGACTTCACTGGACACCAGTGAGGGCGGAAGTGCGGTTTGGAGGTTGGCATATGAGAAAGATAAAACAAGATCTTTGGCATTAAGGGATGTAAAGTTCAGTTGAGTCACTTCCAGGTCATCCTGGAACAATTATTCTACCAACATTCTTAAGTGCCAATAACTGGGCAGGTGCTGGGTTGGGTGGGGGCTGGGGGAAGGTGGAAATGACAGGAATTTCCCATGGTTCCTGTGCTCAAGGAAACTGCAGTTCCAAGACAGCCTCAAAAGTAGATGCAGATGGTCATGATAACAGCCGTGTGGCATCTGCTGTGGCACCACCTTGGTTTAACAGGGACCAGGGAAGGGGCGGCAGCTGCTGAGTGTGGTCTTCAGAAAAGAGGGAGGTGAGGCTGGAGCTTCAGAGGACAGAGGGGCAGGGAAGGCAGAAGGCAGTGTTTTCCAAATGAGAAGCGAAACAGGGACAAAGGCACAGAGGTGGGAATGAGAAAACTTGGGAGGGATCTGGGAATGAACGAGTCTGTGCTGGGGAAAAGTGGGAACCGCCTGGGATGTGTGCAGGGCCTGGGGACGTGGGTGGAGGTGGGAACAGGTCCTAAGACCAGAAGGGAGACCGAGGCTGGTGCATTTATGAAAGTGTGTCTAGTGATGGGGGGTGGGATTCCATGAAGCCAGAGAGGCCAGGGGGGCAAGTCAGAGAGGGCATCAGAAGGAAGGACTGAGGTCTTTGTAAATGCAAGGGAGGTCACGCAGGGGAGTGAAGAGCGCAGATGTGCATTTTAGACCAACTGACTCTAGCTCCTCTGTGGAAAATGGGTGGGAGGGTGCAAGAATAGATATGGGAACCACTTCATCTCACGACTCTGGGAGAGAACTCGAGGACAGAGGAAAGGCAGCAGCTGGGGCCAGGAAGAGAACTGGCTAGACTTCAGGCCAGTCCTCGAGTCAGAACCCCCAGGCCTGGGTGTGAGGAGGAGGGGAGAGGCTGGAGCCAGGTCTCTGGATGGATGTGGTTCGTGGGTGATTGGGAGCTACAGCGGGTTCGTAAGCACATGGAGACAATGAGGTCAGCACATCCTGGGGCTTCATCAGAAGACTCACAGAAGCAGTGAAGAGGTCTTGTGAGCCCGCGGCCAGCACGGGGCGAAGGTTCTTGGAGGAGGGGAGGGGCTCTCTCAGCAGGGAGAAGTTGAGGCGCAGAATGATGGGGCTCACTATATCCTCCACGCAATCCTGAGGGAGAACAGGCTTCAAGAACCCCCTGCCGTCTCCACGCTCCACCACAAGGCCTCCTCCCCTGCATCCACTCCCTCTGCCCTGACAGTGCCCAGCCAAGCCATGGAGCCAGGTCCACCTGCTGCAACTTTCCTCTCTCCAGCCCCACCATCCTAAACCTTCCCACCTCACTCAGCGGAGAATCAGGCTGCTCCAGGCCAGCTTTGGGATCCTCCTCCCTCCCCTTTCCCAGAACCCAAAGTCCTCACTGGCAAAAGCAGCTTCAGGGTTTCACAGTGAACCCCCAGTCCCACGGTTTTTCTTCGAGTCAAAGTTCGGTTCTTGGTCTCACTGAAAATGGCGCGAGAAGTCAGACGACCTGGGTCCAGTGCCAGCTCATACCCGATGGAGCTTTGGATGTCACCTGAAGTGCAGGAGAAGTGGAAAATGAAAAGGCAGGAATAACCCAGAATGCTCTGTTTTGATTTATTTGTTCATGCAATACATCTTTGCCGGACAGTTCTACGGGCCGTGAACAGTACCACATGCTGGGGATACATGCGGAGAAGATAGATGGATAGATAGATGATGGATGGATGGATGGGTGGATGGATGGTGGATGGATGGATAATAGATAAATAGAGGAGAGGTTACATAGGTGACAGATTAGATAGATGATAGATTTGGTAGATAGATTGGATGGGTGATAGATTAGATAGATAGATGACAGATAATAGGTGATAGATTGGTAGATGATAGATTAGATAGGTGATGGATAAATGATAGATGATAGGTGATAGATTGGTAGATAGACGATGGATTAGATAGATAGATGATAGTAGAGATATGATAGATTTGGTAGATAGATGGTAGGTTACCTAGCTAGCTAGATATGGCCCCTGCTCTCATGAACCTCACAATCTAAGAAAGAAGCCAAGCACATGGGCAGTGATGTCACAGCGTGATCCGTGCGAGCGGAGGCTCTCCTGTGGTTCTAAGGACGGCACACTCGCTGGACCTGGCCAGGCTGCCTCCTGGATGGACCATGGCTAAGCAGCCATCCGGAGGATGAACAGGAGCCAGGTGAGGAGCGGGGAGACCCTCCGGGAGCATGAGAACAGGGCCTAAGACCAGAAAGGAGAGCAGGGCTGGCACATTTATGAAAAGCGCGCCTAGTGAGGGGAGTGGCATGCCATGAGGCCAGAGAGGACAGCAGGCCAAGTCAGAGGGGATCAGAGGGAAGGACTGGGGTCTTTGTAAATGCAAGGGGGAGTTACGCAGGGCAGTGAGGAGCCCAGATTTGCATTTTAGGACCAGCCGACTCTAGTTCCTCTGTGGAAAGTGGGTGGGAGGGTGCAAGAGTAGCTGTGGGAACTGCTTCGTGTCATGACTCTGGTGTTGGTGGGAGAGAATTGGGGGCCGGGGGGAGGCAGTGGCTGGGGCCCAGGAGAGAACTGGTTGGACTTTAGGTCAGTCCTGGAGATGGACCCACAGGCCCGGGTGTGAGGAGGAGGGAAGAGAATGAGCCAGGTTTCTGGCACAGGCGGTGAGTGGATGTGGAGGTGAGATTGGATTTCTGGGCCCATCCCGTCTCAGGATGGCATTGGGGCTCCAGCAGAATGAGGGGCAGACAGATAAATGATAGATAATAAATAGGTGATAGACTGTTGGGATAGCCTAGGGTGACAGACTGGGCGATAGGCTAGGGAAACACACCTAGCTGGTCGAATGTGCTTTTGTGGATGGTGAGACAGACGTTGGCGTCCCCAGCTTCCAGCGTGCTGGGCCTCTCTTCCCAGCACCGGTACACAGCCTTGGCCACCTCCACGGGGCTGAATCTCATGGCCACCCCTACTTTTAGCACCGGCAGACTCCTGAGGGGCAGGCAAGGGCAGCGGGGAGGACAGGACACTGGCTTCTGGGAGGAGAACGAGGCTGCGGGGGGGTGGGCAGCACCAGTAAATCGGACACAGTGGGCAAGGGCAGGAAGTTGGGGAGTTGCTACCTGAGCAGGAGCACCTGGCCCCGGGCCCCCACCGCCAGGTCCACCAGTCCATCCTGGGTGAGGTCCTGACCCCCGCTCAGCGCCTGCCCGAAATACTGCAGCCTGGGGGACAGCTGGGAGCCCGTGATCCGCTGGCCAGAAGAGAAAAGGGTGAATCAGGCTGGAAGGCTGGGGAAGCACTTGGACGTAAGTAACAAGGGGAATATGGAGGTAGGGCCGTGGGCGAAGGACAGAAGGGGTGAGCTGTGAACAGATGTCACCAAGAAGAGCCTGAAAAAAGGAGATAGGGGTGGGGAGATGGTTGCTAAGAAAGAGATGTCGGAGTGGAGATTGGAAGGGTACTGTGGTGACCCTGAGTGTCATTCAGTCAGTCTCTAGTTCCAATTCTGACTCCTCCATCTACGAGCTACGAGGCCGGGGACAAGGACTCAATCTTTCTGTGCCTCTGTTTCCTCATCTTTCCAGCGATCTGCTGGCCAGAGAGAGAGAAGAGAGGCGGAAGTCAAAGGGAGGCGATGGGAAAGGTTTGAGAAGAGAGATTTGGAAAAGAGATTGTGGTGAAAGAGGATCTGAAGATAGAACTTGGGAAGGAGAGATAAGGGGGTAGAAATTGAAAGCAAATACGGCCAGGTGGGGTGGCTCACACCTGTAATCCCAGCGCTTTGGGAGGCCGAGGCGGGCAGATTACCTGAGGTAAGGAGTTCGAGACCAGCCTGGCCAATATGGTGAAACCCCTTCTCTCCTAAAAATATACAAATTAGTCAGGCATGGTGGCAGGTGCCTGTAATCCCAGCTACTTGGGAGACTGAGGCAGGAGAATTGCTTGAACCCAGGAGGCAGAGGTTGCAATGAGCCAAGATTTCACCACTGCACTCCAGCCTGGCCAACAGAGTGAGACTCTGTCTCAAAAAAAAAAAAAAAAAAAAAAGAGAGAGAGAGAGAGAAAGCAAATGGGGTAAGGACCTCGGGACCCCTAAACAGAGAAGGGAGCTCTTTGGGTCCAGCCCGTCATGAGGGTGCAGGTTGGTGATGAAATAAGAGCGTAACAGTAGGCGTGTAACAGATTCATGCATTTGGCACTGGTTAGATCACTCGTGACTATTCAGTGAGGGCGGGGCTGGGTGCCTTAGCACTCTCACTGTTATTTCTACAAGAAGCCTAAGGAGTTGGTTTTATCATTTCTGGGTTTTACAGAAAGAAACTAAGGCTGACAGAGACTGTCAGTCACCTGTGGTAGGTCACACAGCTCAGGATGGCTGGCCAGGCCAGGGATTGGAACTGGCCTCTGACCTCAAAACCTGTTCTCCTAACCATTAAACTGCCCACACAGATGGAAGGCTTTCTTGAACAAAGGAGAGAAAAGAGATGATTTGTGATTAGCTGATGAATCACTAAAACAAGGAAGGGAATGGTGACAGACACAGGAGGCTGCCTTCAGTGAACTCATGACACGGGAAGGAGCTGGGACTAGAAGTGGCTGAAGACGTGGGGAGGGGATGGGGGGCCTCACCTGGCTGTGAGAGGGGCTGATGCTGGATCCCGAGGCTCCGGAAAACAGGTAGACAGCACCCAGGTTCTCCTGCTCTCCCGGGGCCCCGATGGCCACATCTGTCAGCTTGTCCCCATTCACGTCCCCCAGCACTGTCAGGGCTGCCCCAAAGCGGCCCCAGGGGTGGCCCTGCTCCCCTCGGAGAACAGCATCACACTGCCACCACATGCTCTGCTGAACACAAGCAGTGTCAGGCCCAACCCAGGCGACCCCTTCACCCACACCAGACCCCACCCAGCCCAGGTCCCATAGGCCACTCACCCCCCTGGGCAAGGGGCACACAGACACCTGGCCCCCTCGGGTCTGCTCGTAGTAATGGGGGGCCCCGATGAGGATCAGGTCGGTGCTGCCATCGCTGTCCATGTCCACGGAGCAGAGGGAGGCCCCAAAGTAGGAGCCGACCTGGAAGACAGAGGCTGGGTCGAGCTGCCTGCCCTGCCAGAGGCAGCCCTGAGGGCCAGGTCCCGCCTCTCCCCAGGTACCAGGACCTCCCCAAAGGCCCCCAAAGCCCCTCCCTCCTCTCCTCTGCCCAGGTCACCGCTCACACCCTCATCTTCGCCCCTGGCTCCCACCAGGCCCAACCTGGGTCCCCGTGACTTCAGCCTTCATCCTCCATTGCCTGGACACCTGGGTGAAGATGACAGCCTTCCCGGTGTGCTGGTAACGGGGGGCCCCCAGGACCAGGCTCTGTACCCCCTTCCACAGGGCCAGCTGGGTGGAGTAACCTGAGAGGTCCAGGCCTCAGCACAAAGGCCCTCATCCCCCCTCCCCAGAACCCTGGATCACCACCCTGGGCAACGCAGCCCTCACCCCTCCTCCCTAGAACCCTGGACCCCACCCCGGGCAGCACAGCCCCCATCCCCCTCCCAGAACCCTGGACCCCACCCTGGGCAGCGCATCTCCCACCTGTCCCCAGCCCCTGGCCATTTCTCACCCAGGTAAGAATCCCTCATGTCCACATTCTCCTGAGACATGTTGATGAAGGTGGGGTTCACATTTGGGGGGTACAGGAAGGCACCTCCAGACCAGCTGAAGCTCCCCACAGCCCCCAGGACGGGGCCATCCTGAGAGGAAAAGATTCCGGGGCTGAGCAGAGGCCAGAGCAGGAAGACAGCGTGTCCCGGAGATAGGCCTGCGCCGGTGCCTCTCACCATCCCGGTTTTCCTTCATCTTCCCAGCCCTCACCAGCAGCCTCTGGGCCTCTGCCTGTCCCCACGGCCACTGCTCCAACAGCCCGGTCCCCCTCACTCACTGCCCTGTCTGCCCCTCGCTGTGCTCACCACTTCCCCTGTCTCCTGTCCCCAGTCCTAGGCTTCCTCAAACTCAAATATGCAGCCACCCCCTCTGGAAAACCATCACCAAGGCCTTATGGTGGCATCTAGGACCCTTCCCTGTCAAACCCATGGAGCCTCGCTCTGTTCCAAAGCACATCAAGCCTTTGGCCTGGACACCTCCCTTCCCTTCTCCTCCTCTGGGACTCTACTCATCTTCCCTCTCTGGAAGAGTCAACTTCATTTTTTTTTTTAAGACAGGCTGTTGCTCTGTCACGCAGGTCTGTGGTGCAGTGGCATGATCGTAGTTCACTGCAGTCTTGAACTCCTAGACTCATGTAATCCCCCCATCTCAGCCTTCTGAGTAGGTGAGACCATAGGCACATGCCACCACACCTGGCTAATTTTTTTTTTTTTTTAAGATGGGGTTTCACCATGATGGCCAGGCTGGTCTTGAACCCCTGACCTTGGGTGATCCACCCACCTCGGCCTCCCAAAGTGCTAGGATTACAGGCGTGAGCCACCGCGCCCAGCCACCTGGCAAATTTTTAAAAATTTTTTGTAGAGAGAGAGTCTCACTATGTTTCCCAGGCTGGTCTCAGACTCCTGGCCTCAAGTGACCCTCCCACGTCAGCCTCCCACAGTGCTGGTATTACAGGTGTGAGTCACTATGCCTGGCGGGAAGTCAACCTCGATGTCGCCTCCTCTGTGAGGGCTTCCTCAGCTCCTTCAGGGGTCCACAGGCATTTCCTCCTGGGTGTACTTTGTTTATTGCTTTTTTGAACTTTTGATATGGATAATTTAGAACACATACAGAAATAGAAATAAATGTATAATGAACCCCCAAGTACGTGTGACCTATCTTCAGTATCAATTCTTCTTGACCAATCTTGTTTCATTTCACCACTCCTTAGACACCTTCAAATTCCTCTGAAGCAAACCCATCTGGATCCTGAGACAGTCTTGTTTTGTCACCTAGGCTGGAGCGCAGTGGCATGATCTCGGCTCACTGCAACCTCTGCCTTCCAGGTTCAAGCGGTTCTCCCACCTGGGCCTGCCAAGTAGCTGGGATTTCAGACACACGCCACCAGACCTGACTATGTTTTTTTGGTTGTTGTTGTTTTTTGTTTGTTTGGTTGGTTTTTTTTTAGTAGAGATGGGATTTCGCCATGTTGGCCAGGCTAGTCTTGAACTCCTGACCTCAAGTGATCCACCCTTCTCAGCTTCCCAAATTGCTGGGATTACAGGCATGAGCCACAGCGCCGGGCCCCATCTGGATCCTCTGAACACACTCACACTTCCAAACCACGTCTTTAATTTCACCTGGTCCTTCTCAGCCTCCAGCCCTCTCCTTCCAGGCTGCCCTGGCTCTCTCACACTGAGGACCCTGGCAATTGCTTTGTCCGGTGCCCAGAGCAGTCTCTCCTGATTCCTCTAGAGGCGGCCTTTTCCATCTCTGAGCCTCCTCTGGCCATCTCTCTACCCCCATGCCTAGCACCATCTGAGGGGCTCATGCTTACTGTCTCCTCCACTAGAATACGTGATCCCTGAGAGCACCCCAGCCACCCTCCTCCCTGCTGTGCTTCTGGCCCCTAACACACAGTGTGGGGGCCTCTCCTTGGCAAGGGGGTGAACTTGAGGACAGGGTCTGCTCTTATTTATATCTGGCTCCCAGTCCCCAGCCGAGGGCGGGAGCAGAGTCAGTGTCCAAGAGCTGTGGATTGAGGGCAGGCTCTACCCACCATTGTGAGGGCTGCACTGAAGCCTTCTTGGGACATCTCGTGTTGGAAGGAGCTGCTTGCCCTGGACTGGGTTCCTGTGGGAAAACAGTTCAGCGAGGTTCCCAGAAGCCATGAGACCATGAGGACTCAGAACACAGGGAGGAGAACATGATCTGGAGCTTGGGTTCCGGAGAGCAAATTTGAGTGAGCTGTGAACAGGAATGGCCCATCAAGACTGCGAGGGACAGGCAGGGAGTGATGGCTCACGCTTGTAATCCCAGCACTTTGGCCGAGGGCGCTGGATCACCTGAGATCAGGAGTTCGATACCAGCCTGGCCAACAGGGCAAACCCCTGCCCCTACTAAAAAATACAAAAATTAGCCAGCCATGGTGGCACATGCCTGTAATCCCAGCTACTTGGGAGGCTGAAGCAGGAAAATTACTTGAACAGAGGAGGCAGAGGTTGCCGTGAGACGTGATCACACCATTGCCCTCCAGCCTGGGGACAGAGTGAGACTCCATCAAAAAATAAAAAAGACTCGGAACAATTGGGTGGGGACCCCTTGGCTCCCAGGCGCACCCTTGCTCCCATTTACCCTCGACTGCAAAGATCTTCTCCTGCAGCTGCTTCTGGATGCTTCCAAGGGCTGCGAAGTTGTCTACCTTGAACACATGGTCCTGCGGAGGGGCTGAGCCGATGGTGTTCAGCTCCTCCCTGGCGGTGGGTTTCTGGAAGGCATTTCCCACCTGCAGCAGAGAGGCAGCTGAGGAGGGGGAGCCCAGCAGCGCTGTGCCTGCTGGAGGTGCAGGCTGAGCCTGGGGCCAGGGTGAGGAGGAGGCGCACCCCGATGGCGTAGCGGATGATGCCAGCTTCCTCCGCCTGGGGGATGACGTCACTGTATTCCAGGGGATCTTTGTACTTCTGCCCATCTGTGATGACAATGAGGATCTTCTTGGCACTTTTGCGGGCCCCGTTCTCATGATGAAATAGCTGTGTCCTGTCGGGGAAGAGAGGGAGATGATTCTACTGAGATGTGATTGATTCTGGAAGACATCACTTGCTGCGCTCTCATCTGAAAGGCTGGGGTGTCCTGATGCCCTCATACTCTATCAGGCATGTTAAGGAATCGATTTTGGTCATTTGGGGGTTTTTTTGAGATGGAGTCTCACTCTGTTGCCCAGGCTTTGGAGCGCAGTGGTGTGATCTCAGCTCACTGTCCGCCTCCTGGGTTCAAGGCATTCTCTGGCCTCAGCTTCCTGAGTAGATGCGGTTACAGGCACCTGCCCTCACACTGACTAATTTTTGTATTTTTAGTGTAGAGATGGGGTTTTACCATGTTGGCCAAGCTGGTCTCAAACTCCTGACCTCAAGTGATCCACCCGCCTCAGCCTCCAAAGTGCTGGGATTACAGGTGTGAGCCACTGTGCCCGGGTTTTTGAAAACCACGCAAACCGTAATTAGTCAGATCAATAATGAAGGAAGTCACATTCTTTGTTTCTAAAATTCTATCCACAGCTGAACTCTCTTCTCCGGAGTCAGTGTGATTCAGAGCAGGGGCTTTGGAGTCAGACACACTTGGGGTATGGGACTTAACCTCTCCCGGCCTCTGCCTCTCTCCGTGGACGATGAGGATAATAATGGCGCTGCAGCTGTCTCTAAAGACGGACCCCAGTGGATCACACCTGGTTCCCCCCGACACTGGACCTGGCCTGGCTGAGTCCCACCCTCATCAGTAGCATGCAGTGGAAGTGGCATCATGCCAGTTACAGGTCTCAGAAGCCTTGGTTTCTTTTGCTTTTGCACTTTTGGGGGCCCTGAGCCACAATGAGAAGAGTCCGGCTACCCTGTTGGAGGCACCCATGGAGTGGCTGCATGGAGGAAGGTCACCTGGTGTAAAAGGCCCAGCCGTCCCCACCGAGCCTGCCTTCCAGCCCATCCTGCCCAGGCACCAGACACAGGAATGAAGCTCTCCATGTGCCGGCTCAACACCGGACCACAGTCACATGAGGGACGCTCTGCAAGAACAGCAGGAGATCCGCCCAGCTGAGCCCCAGGACCAAGAAAAATTATGAAGCATTGCTGCTTAATCCACTTGACTTGGGGATGGTGTGTTAGGCAACAGTAGATAACTGAAACCAGTAGTGTCGGTTATCCCCAGGCTTAAACACAGCCAAGCTTTTACACTAATTAGATGGCAGCTGCAACAAACAATTAAAAATGTAACTATCAGCCGGGGGCAGTGGCTCACGCCTGTAATCTGAGCACTTTGAGAGGCCGAAGCGGATGGATCCTGAGCTCAGGAGTTCGAGACCAGCCTGACCAACATGATGAAACCCCGTCTCTACTAAAAGAACAAAAATTAGCCAGGCAGGGTGGCGTGCCCCTGTAATCCCAGCTCCTGAGGAGGCTGAGGCAGGAGAATCGCTTGAACCCAGCAGGCAGAGGTTGCAGTGAGCCGAGATCGTGCCACTGCACTCCAGCCTGGGCGACAGAGCGAGACTCCATCTCAAAAGTAAATAAATAAATAAATATCTGCTCATGTAACTCTATAAACTCAGAGCAAATACACACAGGTTCCAAATGGAAACAACCCAAATACCTGACACCGGGGAAGGGTCTAGCCAGTCATGACCTAGCCTATTAGCAGAAAAACACACAGCTGTTTCAAGCAGTATGGGAGGCCGAGGCAGGAGGATCTTTTGAGGCTTGAAGTTGAAGACCAGCCTGGGCAACAGAGCAAGACCCCATCTCTACAAAAACTGTTTTGAAAAATTAGCCAGATGTGGTGGCATGCACCCATGGTCCCGAGGTGGGAGGATTGTTGAGCCCCAGAGTGGGAGGCTACAGTGAGCCATGATCGTGCTGCTGCTCTCCAGCCTGGGTGACAGAGTGAGACCCGTCTCAAACAAACAAACAAACAAACAATTGTGGACGTAGATGAGGGGAAAAAACCCCAAACAAGGTGAAAATAGTTTCTGCCCCGAATGTGACCATACAAAAGAAGCCGGAATAAAGATGAGGATGGCAGTAGCACTGTACTATGCCACTGAGATTTACTGATCGATTCACTTGTAGGTATCCCTTGATGTTGCTAAAATACTGTAGGGTGGTTGACTAGAGGGACTGAGGGTAATATAATATATTTTTTAAAGTTTTCTTACTGCTATTGCCATTTGGGTTTTGCTTTGTTTTTGCTTTTTTGTAATCAAACTTATTTAAAAAAAAAAAAGAAAGAAAGAAAGAGAAGAAAGAGGCCGGGTACAGTGACTCATGCTTGTAATCCCAGTATTTGGGAGGCTGAGGCAAACAGATTACCTGAGGTCAGGAGTTCGAGACCAACCTGGCTAACACGGTAAAACCCTGTCTCTACTAAAAATACAAAAATTAGCCAGGTGCGGTGGTGTAGGACTGTAGTTTCACATAATCGGGAGGCTGAGGCAGAAGAATTGCTTGAACTGATTGGCAGAGGTTGCGGTGAGCCGAGATTGCGCCATTGCACTCCACTCTCGGTGACAGAGTGAGATTCCATCTCAAAAAAAAAAAAAAAAGAGAAAGAAGGAAGGGAGAAAAGTGGGGAAAGAAAGAAAGAAAGAAGGAAGGAGGGAGGGAAGGAAGAAAGGAAGGAAGAAAGGAAGGAAGGAGAGGGGTGAAGGAAGGGAGGGAGGGAAGGACCAGGGTTAGGAAGGTCCAATCCTTGGCTAAGAGGAAGGAAGGAAGGAAAGAAGGAAGGGAGGGAGGGAGGGAGGAAGGAAAGAAGGGAGGAAGCAGAGGGGCAAAGGGAGGAAGGGAGGAAGGACAGATGAAGGTCAGGGAGGTCTGATCCTTGGCGGGGTCCAGCCCTGAGATGGGCGTGGCTCTGGGGAGCGGAGGCTGCTGGGAAATTCCCTGTACTCCGGGCTTGGGCGCAGGACTGGAGTTGGTGAGATCCACTCGGTCACCCCTGCCTCATTCATTTTTTTCTCCAGGCCCCAACACCGGAAGAACTGTGAGGGGTGAGGTGGAGACTCCAGAAGGGGACACTCCTGTGTGACTTTAAACTTACAGGACAGACAGAGGCCTTCCTCCTTGCTGAGTTACAAGGGGCCATCATTCAAGGCAGAAGAGCCTCCCGGAAATAAACAGGGTGAGTTTGGCAGGACCATCTAATGCTTAAGCCGAATCCTAGCACGCTCCCAGGGGTGTGTGCAGGAAGCCAAGGATCCAGACCTTCAGCCCAGCAGCTTCCCACAGAACCACATGCCCTTCTCGGGAACCCCACCTCCTACATTGTTTTAGGCGTAGAGGCAGGACAGGCGTGGGTGAGCACCTGGCAGCGCAGGGGTGAGGGAAGCAGGGCAGGAACTGAGTGGGGAGAAAGGCACCAGGAAGACCCTGGGCGACAATTCCTGAGTCCCTGACTGCTCCATTCTCTGATAAAATCTCAGGCATTTATCTGACACTTCCTGCTGAGGTGAGTACCCTACACACATGGTCTCAATCCTAAACTGTAAGCGTATCCTCATCTGAGAGTCCCTGAGACTTAGAGCCTGTCGCTCCCAGGGGTTTCACCATGTTGACCAGGGTGTAACCCCCAGAGTTACACCCAGAGTAGCTCTCAGGGAGCCAGCATGGAAGCCTGCTGTATCTGAGACAAAGCCTGGGCCTCTGGCTCCTGTAGGGGGTGGGGGAGCAGGAAGGGGGGGTCCTGGGGTCCAGCCTCCACAGAACCAGCAAAGCAGAGGCATAACGCAGAAAAGCCTAGTCTTATATCAGGGAGACCGGCAGTGAGCAGCCAGGAGCACCCGACGGGGAGATTCTCCCTACAGCCCCGACATGTTTGCTAGCCCCTTTCCCCAGCCTCCCTCAGCCTCTGAGAAGAGCTGTGCTGACCCATGGTTAGGAAGCGGGGGTGGCAGCCACATCAGCAGGCCAGGGTTGGGGGTGCTTACACCACTTTCAGGATGCCCGTGGCCGTGAATGTCAGGCCTTTCAGTTGGACGATGGGATCTACCAGGCTCTGCGGGCTCGGGCTGGTCCGGAATTGCGTGAAGGTGAAGTGGATCTTCAGGAGGTTTGAGTACTGCATCAGTGAGAACTGCAAAGGCCAGAGGGGAGGGCCCAGGACTCAGTGGCTGTTACTATTGGTTTAATTTTAATTTTTAATTTTTTTGTTTTGAGACAGAGTTTCGCTCTTGTCACCCAGGCTGGAGTGCAATGGCATGATCTTGGCTCACTGCAACCTCCATCTCCTGGGTTCAAGCAATTCTCCTGCCTCAGCATCCCGAGTAGCTGGGATTACAGGTGTGCACTGCCACGCCCGGCTAATTTTGTATTTTTAGTACAGACGGGGTTTCTCCATGTTGGTCAGGCTGGTCTTGAACGCTTGACCTCGTAATCTGCCTACCTCAGCCTTCAAAAGTGCTGGGATTACAGGTGTGAGACACTGCGCCCAGCTTTTATTTTATTTTATTTTATTTTTTTTGTGCAGACAGGGTCTTATTACGTTGTCCAGGCTGGTCTCAAACTCCTGGCCTCAAGTGATCCTCTTGCCTCAGCCTCCCAAGTAGCTGGAACTAGAGGCACATGCCACCATGCCTGGCTTTTTTTTTTTTTTTTTTTTTTTCAGTGGAGACAAGGTCTGTGTTGCCCAGGATGGTCTCGAACTCCTGGCCTTAATCAATCTTTCCACCTCAGCCTCACGCAGTGCTGGGATTACATGTGCTAGCCACCACGCCCAGTCATACTGGTTTTATTGTTAGTAAACTTTTTATTTGGAATTATTTTGGATTTACAAACCATTTCCCATGTGTTTTGAGGCCCTGTAAATAATATACTGAAACCCAGAGAAAAAATTCACGGCCAGGCGCTGTGGCTCAAGCTTGTAATCCCAGCACTTTGGGAGGCCGAGGCGGGTGGATCACGAGGTCAAGAGATCGAGACCATCCTGGTCAACATGGTGAAACCCCGTCTCTACTAAAAATACAAAAAATTAGCTGGGCATGATGGCGCATGCCTGTAATCCCAGCTACTCAGGAGGCCGAGGCAGGAGAATTGCCTGAACCCAGGAGGCGGAGGTTGCGGTGAGCCGAGATCGCGCCATTGCACCCCAGCCTGGGCAACAAGAGCGAAACTCTGTCTCAAAAAAACAAAACAAAACAAAACAAAACCTTTGGCCGGGCGCGGTGGCTCAAGCCTGTAATCCCAGAACTTTGGGAGGCCGAGGTGGGTGGATCACGAGGTCGAGAGATCGAGACCAACCTGGTCAACATGGTGAAACCCCGTCTCTACTAAAAATACAAAAAATCAGCTGGGCATGGTGGCGCGTGCCTATAATCCCAGCTACTCAGGAGGCTGAGGCAGGAGAATTGCCTGAACCCAGGAGGCGGAGGTTGCAGTGAGCCGAGATCGCGCCATTGCACTCCAGCCTGGGTAACAAGAGCGAAACTCCGTCTCAAAAAAAAAAAAAAAAAAAAAGAGATCTAGACCATCCTGGTCAACATGGTGAAACCCTGTCTCTAATAAAAAATACAAAAAATTAGCTGGGCATGGTGGCACATGCCTGTAATCCCAGCTACTCAGGAGGCTGAGACAGGAGAATTGCCTGAACCCAGGTGGTGGAGCCGAGATCGCGCCATTGCACTCCAGCCTGGGTAACAAGAGCAAAACTCCATCTCAAAAAAAAAAAAAATTCACTGGCCCAAAAATACAAAATGTAAACTGGAAAATCGAAACCAAATGATGTTTCCTTCACAGTTTACAAAGAATCACTTTGCCCCCCACAATATTTGCTACCCTTAGCTTTTAAAAATTTTTATCATGCCTTAAATCGATTTATGTATTTCTTCACTTCCCTAGAACTTGTGGCTAGGCATGGTGGCTCATGCCTGTTATCCCAGCACTTTGGGAGGCCAAGGTGGGAGGGTTGTTTGAGGCTAAGAGTTGGAGACCATGTTGGTCAACAGCAAGACTCCATCTCTACAAACAAAAATTTGAAAATTAACCAGGCATGGTGGCGTGCACCTGTAGTCTCCATTACTCAGAAGGCTGAGGCCAGAGGAGGTCTAGGCTGCGGCGAGCTATGATTGCACCACTGCACTGCAGCCTGGATGACAGAGCAAGACCCTGTTTAAAAAAAAAAAAAGGTGGGTTTTTTTTGCATATACATAGGTGCTAGTTACTGGGAAATAATAAAAAATCATTAGTTACATGGAAAATAAAATAAACCATCAATCAATTGGCTGAGTTACAGTCAGTCAAATTTCATAGCAAAATTATTTTTTAAACCCTTTCAATGTTTTTAAATGGCAGAAACATTGTATTTCCTGTAGTTTCTGGATACCTATTAAATGCCATGGGGGGCCTCCTAGGTCAGGGCTCAAGTCAGACCTGCGCTGGGACCACAGCTTCATCCTCCAGCCCAGCCGCATCCCAAGTGGCTGCACTGACCTGCCTCCACCCCTACCTGGGATGCCTCCCTCAGGCCAGCCTCCCCCACCCCTCAGCCCCCAGCCCCATGTGCCCCGTCTTCACCAGGGTATCAGTGTCCTCAAACTGGTCCATTACAGCTTGGACAAAGCCCTTCATCTGGTTAAAGTCGTTTTCATCAATGCTCCCAGAGCCGTCAATCAGGAAGACGATGTCCATCTCTTGATGTGGACAGTCTGTAGGGGAATGAGGAGGAATCAGAGACGCACTGCAGGGGTCCAGCCCCTTCCCGGAGCTCCTGCTCAACAGAGCCCAGGGGCTGTTCTTGGCGTCCCAACCTGGTTTCCGACCCCTCCTTGGAGGAGGCCCTGATCAGCCGCACCAGCCCCCTGCTCCCTTCCTCTCACATAGCCTGGAAAGAGCAGGAGGAGAACGCAGGGCCCCGGTGGGCTCCTCATTCATCAATAAATAATTCATGAAACACGGTTAGGAGTGCTACAAGCTTTGTGGGAGAATGTCAAGCAAAGTGGTTCAGGGTGTGTGTTCTGGAGCCAGTGCGCCTGCACTAAACCGCAGCTCAGCCACGTGCTGACTGGTAAATTCAGGCACATTACTTAACTTCTGTGAAATTTCAGGGTCCCCGTGTGTAAAATGAAGGTAATAGCTGTAGCTACCACGTGGGATTACTGCAAGGATAAAGCAATATGCACATAGATGCTGGGGGCAAGGCCTGGCCCTCCGACAGGGTCAGCCGCTGGCACCATCCTCACCATGTGCCAGGTACCTTGGAGGCCTGTAGGATATGCCTGTAGGGATGATGCAGGGTGGCGGGCTTGAGGGGAGGGGGAAGAGGGCCAGGGATCCACCTTAGACTCCGCCCCAACCCCCCTCAGGACAGAGGCCCTCATTTCCAGCTCTGTGGAGTTGGCTCTCAGCTGAGTCCCTTACCAGGAATTGCACTAGGCAGAGGGGAACTGTCGCCCACGCCACACCTTCTGCACCTGAAGGCAGCCTTTCTCTGATGACTGGTTTGGGCTGAAGGGCCAGCTGCACGCTGAGCCCCCCAGGCATTGGCTGAAGCCTCTGGTTTTTTCATTTCTTGTTTTTTTGAGGCAGATTCTGACTGTCGCCCAGGCTGGAGTGTATTGGTGTGATCACAGGTCAGTGCAGCCTCGACCTCCCCAGGGTCAGGCAGTTCTCCCACCTCAGCCTCCTGTGTAGCTGGGACTACAGGCATGCACTGCCTTGCCTGGCTAATTTTTGTGTCTTTTTGTAGAGATGGAGTTTTGCCATGTTGCCCAGGCTGGTCTCAAACTCCTGGGCTTTAATGATCTACCTACCGTGGCTTCCCAAAGGGCTGGGATGGCAAGTGAGTGCCCCCGCATCGGCCTTGGGCTTCTATTATGATTGTATTGCGTCCACCCTTCACACTGCCACAGATGCGGCACCCAGGAACATTCCAAGCCAGTCGCAGTGGCTCACACCTGTATTCCTAGCACTGTGGGAGGCTGAGGAGGGTAGATCATTTGCGGTCAGGAGTTCAAAACCAGCCTGGCCAACATGGTGAAACCCCATCTCTACTAAAAATACAAAAAAAGCAGCTGGGCATGGTGGTGCGTGCCTATAATCCCAGCTACTCAGGAGGCTGAGTCAGGAGAATCACTTGAACTCAGGAGGTGGAGGTTGCAGTGAGCTGGGATCATGTCACTGCACTCCAGCCTGGGCCACAGAGTGAGACTCCATCTCAAAAAAAAAAAAAAAAAAAAAAAAAGAACATTCCCAAGTGACCTCAGAGTCTGTCTGGGGGAAACCACACCTAAGACCATGGCTTCAAAAGAGATGCCACCCCTTCCCTCGTGGAGCTCACTCCGAAGTCATGAGGACATACCATATGCACATCAATAAGCAAGACACTTCATGCTGTCCCCAGGCTCATGTGGGGGATGTGACCATGTTCAGGGCCCATTTGGTGGTTCCACTAGCAGCCACATCCTGTGCTACCCCCAGGGCGGTGGGAGATCAGGCCACCAGAGCATTAAGATGTGAGGCCCACACCGCAGGGCTGCCCACCACTGTGAAAAAAAAATGCCTTCCCTCTTTCCTCTCTCTGACCCCAGCTGTTCAACCACCTGGTGCTTCTAGGGTGCTGGGGAGAAACAGAAGGTCATTTCCCTTCCTGCTTCTTCAACCACCAGCAAATCTCATCACCCACAGAGCAGGCTGCAGATCCCCTAGGAGCTCCCCTTTTTTGCCCATGTCTGGGCAGCCAACGTCTTGCAGTGATGCCCATTTTTTCAGCTGCATCCAAAAACCACCCTCTCATCCTCTCTCAAGCCAGGTCTGTGGCAGTCCTCTCACAATGTCTCTTCTGTTTCTTGGTCTTTTTATTGTATCCCCTGGGCTTGCACTAGCAGGAGCCTAGACATGTCCTTTTGAAAAATGACTCTGCCAATCAGGCAAGGATGGCTCAAGCTCTGGGCTCTGCCTCTTGCTATCAATGGGAACTCATCTCTCTGAACCTTGGTTTTCTCCTCTGTAAAATGGAAATGGGCCTGCCCACCACCCAGGATGTTGTGAGGATGCAGTAAGGTGATGCCTACCAGGCACTCAGCACTGCCTGGCACACAGGTGATGCTCAGTGGACCTGGTCCCTTCCACTTGGACCCACACCCACCTTGCCTGCACCACGATTATGCTCCAGTCCCATTTGCATCAGACATCCCACCTCATGAGTTTCAGAGATGGCTCTGAGAAGACATTTACCCCTTGTTTTTAAGTGCCACCTCCCTAACCTGGCTTCACAGAAATCTCAGGCTGGGTGTGGTCCCCCCAGGACCCCTGGATGCCCTCTCCCCCTTCCCTCGGACCCCTCCATAGACTCCACCTTCACCATTTGCTCTGGGGATGTTTCTGCTGCTGCTCCACCTTTGTCTAAAGGCCCAGCATGCCTGGCATCATGGCCTCTCCAGCTCAAGCCGTACCCTCGGTTAGCACCCTGAGCAGCCCCTGGCATTCCCACCAGCACCGCAGATGAGGCAGTTTGCCTGTATCTTCCCCCCAGTCCCAGCACGCAGTCCCCAGCTGGAAGACGGGTCAGAGGGGCTAGCGCATACTATGTGCCAGGCAGGGTTCCAAGTGCTTTATACACCTCAATCCCTTCCGTCTTCATAACCCCTTGATTATTGAGCTCCATTTTGCCAATGAGGAAACTGAATGCCTTTGAGGAAATGAAGCTTTAAGGGAATGAAGCCTGGCACCCGTGGAAAATGAACCTGGGCACCACCATGAGGCAGACCGACCCTCAGAGAGATGCCACGGTGATGTCCTCAGGCCCCATTCTCTGTGGAAGACGTGAGCACTGACAACATTGCAAATCACTTTTTCCGGAGCCCGGTTGGCTCCCCTTAAAGATAAAAGTTAGTCTGATAAATCCTTGAAGTTCAGCAGTGAACCATCCGGAAGAAACACCTCCCTCGTGGATTTATCCTCACCACATCTTCACTACCCTAAGGTCCTTCCTCTGAAACTCAAGAAGCGGCCGTGCACCTGTTGGTAACTGGAAGATACTGGTGCCCTCCACAACCTGCACACTGGGGCTCCTCTCTGCCTCCATCAGAACTTCCACCCCTCAGGCCAGGCACAAGGACTCATGTCTGTAATCCCCAACACTTTGAGAGGCTGTGGTAGAGGATCCACTGAGCCCAGGAGTTCAAGACCAGCCTGGGCAACATAGCAAGACCCCCATCTCTACAAAAAAAGAAAGAAAAATTAGCCAGGTGTGGTGCATGTACCCATAGTCCCAACTACTCAGGAGGCCGAGGGAGGAGCATCACTTGAGCCCAGGAGTTTGAAACTGCAGTGAGCTATGATTGCACCACTGCACTCCAGTCTGGGCGATAGAGCAAGAATCTGTCTCAAAAAAATTATCAGGGTGTGCAAGCAGCCTGGCAGACACCCTGTTTTTTGGTTTTTGGTTTTTGGTTTTTTTGAGATGGAGTTTTGCTCTTGTCACCCAGGCTGGAGTGCAGCGTTGCAATCTTGGCTCCCTGCAACCTCCGCCTCCCAGGTTCAAGCAATTCTCCTGTCTCAGCCTTCCGAGTGGCTGAGATTACAGATGCAAGCCACCACATCCAGCTCAATTTTTTGGTATTTTTAGTAGAGGGGTTTCACCACATTGGCCAGGCCGGTTTTGAACTCCTGACATCAGGTGATCTGCCCGTCTCAGCCTTCTAAAGTGCTGGGATTACAGGCATGAGCCACCACACCCAGCAGAGACCCTGTCTTAAAAAGGAAAAAAAAGCCGGGCGCGGTGGCTCAAGCCTGTAATCCCAGCACTTTGGGAGGCCGAGGCGGGTGGATCACGAGGTCGAGAGATCGAGACCATCCTGGTCAACATGGTGAAACCCCGTCTCTACTAAAAATACAGAAAACTAGCTGGGCGTGGTGGCGCGTGCCTGTAATCCCAGCTACTCAGGAGGCTGAGGCAGGAGAATTGCCTGAACCCAGGAGGCGGAGGTTGCGGTGAGCCGAGATCGCGCCATTGCACTCCAGCCTGGGTCACAAGAGCGAAACTCCGTCTCAAAAAAATAAATAAATAAATAAATAAATAAATAAAAAGGAAAAAAAAAAAAGAAGAAAAGAAAAAACCCTACGAAGAACTTCTAACCAGGAGCAGCAGGGTTTCTGCCTGAGAGGCCCTTCCCTCCCAGCTTCTCTCCTAGCCACACTCAGCCCTCAAGGGAGGGTACAGGGGCCCAGACAAAGGCCTCACACCTGCCCACCCTCAGTGCCAGCACGTGCTCCAGCAGGAACCACGGCCTGCCGGGGACCTACCTGGCAGGGCACTGGGGACTGTCCGGATGATCTCCCAATGCGAGCCCAGCAGGAGGCAGGAACCCTTTGAGTACAAGTTCTCCTCACAGGCTCTGTGCAGGGTCGGGCCACAGGCCTGGAGCAGAAGCCTGTGAGCCAGGAGCCCCCAGCACCCACTCCTCCTCACCCCCAACCCCGACCTCCTCCCCCGCAACCCTCCCCTGGCTGGAGGCACTCACTCACCAGAAGCCAGGAGAGGTCAGTGGAGGCTGCCAGGGTCAGACCCAGGGACATGTTCACGGCCATGGGACAGACTGCGAGAGCAGACACGCGGGACCTCACTCACACACCCACTCATTTGCGGGGAGGGTCTAGCCTGGAAGCTAAGGGGGGGCACAGTTGGGTTCAGGAGGGTTGAGGGCCCCAGTTCTCAGGTTGGTCACTCACTGGGCAGCTGGATGGGCTGGCAGATGCGGGTGGCAGCCACGCAGTCATACAGACGTCCCGTCTGGTTGGCCGCCACCACCTCCAGGGGGGCTCCCACCACGAGTCTGGAGACACAACCGCGGCCATGTCACTGCAGCTGCAGGAGGCGTGGGAGCCGCGGGCACTTGGGGGCAAGGAAGTGCCCCTCCATGGGGAAGTGAGACTTTGTGAGGCTAGTTCCTGGCCGCTTGGCAGAATGTTCAGAAATCAGGGCCCGGGTGTAACCCACAAATGCCCAGGGACCCTGCTGGGGTTTTGTTTATTTGGTTTTGAGCATGCATACGTACGTATGTGTGTATTTATGTTTAGAAAATTTTGTGTGTGTGTGTGTGTGTATCTATGTTTAGAAAAATTTTTTTTTCTTTAAAAAGAAAACTATTTAAAGACCAAAATGGCATTTCCCCATCATGGGTAAGTACATTGCATTTCTGAGTTGCCATTACTTTGAGCTACCCAAGAAATAGATCATCTCAAGTTAATTGGAACAATTTCCTGAAGACAGGAGCCTTCAAAATAAATAGTCGATTCACTGGATCAATGTAAATATTATATGAGCAATTTCAATTGACCAATTTAAAGTAGTGCACTAGGATTCATAGCTGTATCTATAGTTAGGTAGAGTCAATGGTTTATTTGCAAAACTGCCTGAGTGGGAAAAATTTTTTAATTTTGGAAATGTTTATCACTACCCACAATCTCCCCAACAAGGTGAGAAAAACAGACAAATACTGGTGTATTTTAATGTGCCAAGCAAGGCTTTGACAAATGGGCCTACGGGGGCTCCTTCGACAGGACCCTTCCTTTACAGAAAGCTATAGTCTGTGTGCCGTGGTTCAGGGGACGCCTAAGACTTTGTGATGAAACCCTGAGCGTTGGCTAGAGAGGCAGCAGTTTGGGACCCTCTGATATGAATGACAAGCAAACCCTTAGTGTAAGCTATCAACCTCATGCTTTTATTTACCCACACCATTACTGACAGGCTGGCTCCATCTTTTCAGTATTGGGTTATGAATGAACAGAAGCCAGAAAAAACAGTGACTTTATAGTAATCTCCTCCTTGTAATCACCTCCTCCATGGAGCCCTCCCTGTGACCAACTGAGCCTTCCTATCCTCTAGGACTCACTCCAGCACCACCTCTTCCATGGAACCCTCCTGAGTCTGCTCACTCCCTGCCTTTGCCCCCCAGACCTTGGTGACTCTGGCCCCCCAGACCAGGCCAGAGCATTACCAATGATATATTAGTTTACTGTAATTTGAATACTGGGGAATGGTGAGCAATAAATAGTTTTATATTCTCTTTTTCTGTCCGATTAGAGCCAGGGTCTCACTTTGTCACCCAGGCTGGAATGCAGTGGCACGATCATGGCAACCTCAACCTCCTGGGCTCAAGTAATCCTCCTGCCTCAGCCTCCTGAGTACCTGGGGCTACAGATGCACGCCACCTCACCCAGCTGTTTTTTTGTTTTTATAGAAACAGGATCTTGCTATGTTGGCCAGCCTGGTCTTAAATTTTTGGCCTCAAGCAATCCTCCTGTCTTGGCTTCCCAAAGTGCTGGGTTTGTAGATATGAACCACAGCTCTCAGCCAATATATTCTGTTTTTTAATGGAGCCTGAAAAGCTGATGGTGATGGAAGTCAGACCAGGGGATCTCTGGGTTTGCCAGGTAATGAGAAGAAGCCCATGGCAGCCCTGTGCCTGTGGGATTTTACATAGGAGCAGCTGACCTAGGTGGTACTCACCCAGGCACACACAGGTGTAATTTTTCATTAAGTTGGGTCTTTCAGATCTGTGCTCTTCAGTTGACCACATTTCCAAATAAAGAAAAAAGCCTGGTGCCTGGCACTTGCTTCCATGCCCCCAGACTGCCGGCCATGTGAGGAAGGGGGAGGGATGTATGGTTGGAGGTCGGTGATCTCTTGTACCTCCTTGTGACCAACTAAGCCTTCCTGTTCTCTGGGGCTCACTGCCAACACTACCTCCTCCATGGAGCGCTCCTGGGTCTGCTCACTCCCTGCCTGTGCCCCTAGACCTTGGTGACACCTGTGTCACATTGTGACTTGAGCTCTCTGGGACAGGAGAATGTCCCAGTGAGCTCCTGGAAGCGGGGGCAGGTTCATAATTTGTGGGTCCCGATTCAAAATAAAAATGTGGGGTCTCTTGGGGTTGGGGGGCTCTTTCCTTTCTTCTGCTCTCTCCCTCAACCTGTCCTGGTTTTTTTTTTTTGTTTGCTGTGTAGTGTCCCCACTCCCTCAGGGTACTCACAGGGTAAGTACAACTAACCCTGACTTTACCCAGATCATGCCAGGGGTGGAAGGTGGCAGCGGTCACTGCACCCACGTGGGTGGCAGAGCCAGCAGCTGAGACCCTTTCCTAAGAGACAGTGGGAGGTGGGGCTGCTGCTGAGCTGAGGCTCCAAACCCTCAGTGCATCTTTCTTTCTTTTTGTTTGTTTGTTTGTTTGTTTTTGACAGAGTCTCACTCTCACCCAAGCTGGAGTGCAGTGGCGCAATCTCGGCTCACTGCAACCTCCACCTCCCAGGTTCAAGCAATTTTTCTGCCTCAGCCTCCCAAGTACCTGGGGTTACAGGTGCCCGCCACTACACCTTTCTAATTTGTTCTGTATTTTTAGTAGAGATGGGGTTTCATGGTGTTGGCCACACTCCTGGCCTCGGGTGATCTGCCTGCCTCGGCCTCCCAAGGAACTTCCAGGCATGAGCCATGGTGCCCAGCCCTGCCATCATTCTTCACTTACGAAACACAAATGCACAGGTAAAATCATTAAGAATTGGCAAGGCAGAGTGGCTCACACCTGTGATCCCAGCACTTTGGGAGGCCAAGGCAGGAGGATGGCATGAGCCCAGGAGTTCAGCCAGTCTAGACAACATAGCAAGACCCCGTCTCTATAAAGAGTAAAACAAAATAAAGCAACAATAAAACAGGCATGATGGCATGCACCTGTGGTCCCAGCTGCTCAGGAGGCTGAGGTGAGAGGATCACTTGAGTCTGGGTTGAGGCTGCAGTGAGCTATGATTGCACCACTGCACTCCAGCCCGGGCAACAGAGCTGGAGTAAAACTAAAAATAAAAATCATCAGGAATTTCAAGAGGTCAAGGGCAGAATATTAAACTCCAAACGTAGTGAGTGTGGGTCCCGTGTGACTGCACTGGCCCCCTAGCAGGCAGGTTCAAGGCCTCCTTCCCGAGGTGAGGTGGGGTCTCGCCTAGAGTTTTGTGGCCCTTCTTGGGATTGATGATTCTTCATAATTCAAAAATTGAAAGATCTCTTCACTTCCTCCAACTTCCCCGCACCTCATCTTTTACATATTTCTTACATCACCTTTAATTTTGGACTTCCTTCCATAAGCAGTGCTTGAAACTCACGATTTGCTGATTTCAGCAACTGAAAAATTCTCTAACTTCCCCTAACTCGTATTATCGCTCGTCTCAGCAAAATGTGTTGCTTTCCACTCATTTTTAGAGATCAATAATATGTGATTCAGGGCCTCCAAGGAGCCAGGGAAAGACTTCTCACCCCTGCTGCCCTTCCTCCAGGACACCTCCCTGGGGTAGCCTGTGTGTACCCACCCCCAGCGCACCATGCGGTGGAGGTTCCGTGTGTGTGGCGGGGGTGGGGGCAGTTAGTGGTGCCTACCGAGATCCACCAAACTGCACCACGCTCTGTCCAAAGCCGGCTGCGTCCTCCTGGAAGATCGTGGGCTCCTCCACATCCAGGTTGAATCCATGATAAGAAGCCAGGACTGAGGAATATTTGATGGGGGCGGGGTGGGATGGGGTTGGGAGTTAAGGAAGCCCCAACCCCTCAGGCCTCTCAGCCTCTTCTTTTTTTTTTTTTTTTCTGAGATGGAGTCTCACTCTGTTGCCCAAGCTGAAGTGGAATGGTGCAGTCTCGGCTCCCTGAAATCTCCATCTCCTGTGTTCAAGTGATTCTCCTGCCTCAGCCTCCCAAGTAGCTGGTGTTACCAGTGCACACCACCACGCCCAGCTCTTTTTTGTATTTTTAGTAGAGATGGGGTTTCACCATGTCGGCCAGGCTGGTCTCGAACTCCTGACCTCAGGTGAGCTGCCCATCTCAGCCTCCCAAAGTGCTGGAATGACAAGCATGAGCCACTGTGCCCGGCCAGGCCTGAGTTTTGATGGCACGTGAATGTGGCTGTGAAGCAGTTTTCACCAGGGGGACTCGTCCCCATGTGCAGTCAGGACTTGGAGAAAAGCAGGCCCACAGAGGTGATGTCTAACCTTTCCCCCTCCGTGGTGGCTTCTGTGGCTTTCCACTCCCAGGGGGAAGCTGGGGAGACCTCTCTCACCCACATCAGGGACCCCATGAACAGGAGCAGGGAAGCCTGGGACAACATGGCCAGCTGGAGAGGCAGCTGAGTCGCCACCTGAGCACAGACCCTGAGCCCCTCTTTGTTCAGGTAGGTCATACTCTCCCGACTCCAGGCCACTCACATACGAGGTGGCTCCCTGTCTCAGCTCTTCACGAGAGTCGTGAGAGCCGACCACCAGCCCCCAGCCTGCCCTCCCAGATGGAGACCCCTCAGAACCCCTCGAAGCTTCTCTCCAACCTCCTGGCCCCACTTACCACCCAGAAGGAGCAGGACGCCGAAGGTCATCCCTGAGCAGCGTGTCGACGGGAAGTGGAGCGCTGGGGACAGAGCACAGACGGTGCTCACTCTCCAGGGGGTAGTTAAAATAATGACTCAGGGCTCCACACGGCAGGAGGAGGGGCACAGTGGGTAAGAAGGCTCTGGTTAATCAGAGAACAGAAGAGGGGGCAGAGGCCAATGACACCCTGGGGAAAAACCCTCATCCACGCCCCCTCCACCACCTGCAGAGACCTGGCTTCCTTCTCCCAGAAGACCACCCTCCCCCAGCCTTGGGAACCAGTTGGTACCCAGGGAGCCCCGTAGCTCTCCGGGGTCCCACAGGAGTGGAAGAGCAGAAAGCAGAACGGCTGCAGAGGTCCCGGCACGTGGATGTGAGCCTGGAGAGAGGCCTGGAGAGCTAGGCCAGGGTGTGGTTTCAAAAAGCAGAGCCCCTCCAGATGAGAACGGACACCGAAAGTAACAAAGTCGTGCAATGTGCTACCACTCAGCGAGACATGAGATCAAACTATGGACAGGATGCCACGGCTCATGTCTGTGGTCCCAGAGTTTTGGTGAGACCAAGGTGGGTGAATTGCTTCAGGCCAGGAGTTCAAGACCAGCCTGGGCAACATAGCCAGGGCCTGTCTTTACAATAAATAAATAAATAGCAAAGAACAAACTACACTTCTGTACAACACCACAGGTTAACGCAATTTTAGCTTAAGTGAAAAAGAAGCCAGACACCAGAATGCCTAATGTCTGGTTCCTTTCACATAGAAGTTAAAGAACAGGCAAAATCCATCTTTGAAAATAGAAATTAGAAGAGTGATTGCCTATTATGAGGCAGAGAAGGAAACTTTTTTTTTTTTTTTTGACAGGTTTTGCTATGTCACCCAGGCTGGAACGCAGTGGCAGGATCAGAGCTCACTGCAGCCTCAAATTCCCAGGCTCAAGCAATCCTCCCACGTCAGCCTCCTGGTCACTGGGAATACAGGTGCACACCACCATGCCCAGTTAATTTTTTTGTTTTTTGTAGAGATGAGATCTCACGATGTTGCCCAGGCTGGTCTTGAATTCCTGGACTCAAGCAATCCTCCCACCTCCTCCTCCCAAAGTGCTGGGATTACAGCTGTAAGCCACCACATCCAGCCAGGAATCTTTAACGTGTTAAATTTAGCATTTAACACAATATTCTAAAATTTGTTACATGGGGTTGGGGAGAAGATAAATGAGTGGTTGTTATTTATTTTCTGTAATTTTCCATGTATTTGAAATATTCTACAATTAAACATAAATGTTCCTTTAAAATGTGAAAAAAATGTTCTCTATATAAAAGCCTAGGAATAGACCAGGCACAGTGGCTCATGCCTATAATCCCAGCACTTTGGAAAGCTGAGATGGGCAGCTCATGAGGTCAGGAGTTAGAGACCAGCATGGCCAATATGATGAAACCCCGTCTCTACTAAAAATACAAAAATTAGCTAGGTGTGATGGTGGGTGCCTGTAATCCCTGCTACTGAGGAGGCTGAGGCAGGAGAATTGCCTGAACCCAGGAGGCAGAAGTTGCGGTGAGCCAAGATCACCTTTTATGTCTCTGTTCACACTTGTTTTGTGCATTTCTTCATCATGCTGAATTCCTGACAGGTTGTACAGTATAAACCACATAGTGTGGACACAGCTTTTTCCCTCTGAGCTGATAAAGTTTATAACATGTTCCTGAGACACATTCATTCAGGCTAGAATAGAAATCTTTACTAACTTAGATTCTGAGGAATTTATGCCTGTCTTGAGAATCAGTTCGGCCACTTTGCCCCACTTACCCACGGGTGGGCTAACAGGCACACGTGAACAGGGGCCAGCAGAAAACACCCATGACCGGCACCTCTCTTCCAACCTGGTTAATGTATTTCTTTTGTTCACTCAGTTCTCCTAAAACCACCGGCCCAGGCTCCTTGCTGCAAAAATTGCCAGATCATGAGAATTAAGTCATAAAAAGTTGGATGCTCAACTTTTCTGGCTCTATAGATGTATTTGTTCGCAGACATGCAACATTAAAGACAACTTAGCCAGGCTGGGCATGGTGGCTCTTGCCTGTAATCCCAGCACTATGGGAGGCAGAAGCAGGAGGATCACTTTAGGGCAGGAGTGCAAGACCAGCCTGGGCAACACAGTGAGACACCATCACAACAACAACAAAAAATTTTTTTTGAGACAGAGTCCTGCTCTGTTGCCCAGGCTGGAGGCAGTGGTGCAATCTCAGCTCACTGCAGCCTCTGCCTCCTGGGTTCCAGTGATTCTCCTGCATCAGCCTCCTGAGTAGCTGGAACTACATACAGGCAAGTACTACCATGCCCAGCTAATTTTGTATTTTTAGTACAGACGGGGTTTCACCATGTTGGCCAGGCTGGTCTCAAACTCCTGACCTCAGGTGATCCGCCTGACTCGACCTCCCAAAGTGCTAGTATTACAGGTGTGAGCCACTGTGCCCAGCAATTTTTTAAAAATTAGCCAGTGGTACGAGCGAAGATCACACCACTGCACTCCAGCCTGGGTGACAGAATGAGTCAAGGGTGAGTGGCCTCCTCGAGCTGCCCTGTGCTCTGTGAATACAACCCTGCAAGCATCAGCCTCTTTAGGCTGAGTGCACCATAAATAGTTAGCCCAAGCTATGGATGCAAGGCTAGGCAAGCTCCAAAATTGGGGCTTAGCCAGGGAGGATTCTTAGGTTTGATCAGGAAAGAACTGAAGCGTGAGCCTGTGTGGAAAAAAGCAGGTTTATTGAAGTGGCCACAGCAGCAGAGTGGCTGTTTCCTGCAGAGCAGAGTGACCCATAGGCAGTGAGCCCAGAGTAGCAGCCAGCGGGCCGCTGACTAACTGCACTTATACTGACTTTTAATTACATGCAAATTAAGGGGCGGGTTACCCAGAACTTTATGAAAAAGGAGTGGGGAGTTTCCGGAACCATAGGAGGTAACTTGCTGACCATTGCTATGACATCATGGCACCGGTGGGGAGGTCTTTATGCTAATAAGCGGTGAGGGTAATAGAGTTTGCTCTCCCGGCTATCTGCTGGTTCGGGCTGTTTTTAAAGTGCGGTCCCATCTTGACCAGATCCTGTTCTGATTAGCTAGGTTGTGACTAGAAAGCAAGTCTCCCTGGTCTACCTCACTCTCTCTCCCACCACTCACAGGATGAACGTTGATTACAAACGAACAACAAAAACTCCTTTTCTGTTGCTAGAGGTTTCCGCAGCTGAAAAGCTCCCACGTACCTGCATTGCACAAAGACTAAAGCTGATTCAGACTTGGCATGGCAGTGACTTATTCCAAGTACGAGATGACATGCTTACTCTCCCACGCAAGCGTTAGTCACTGCTATTCCGCTGTTTACCTCTGACATTACACAAAAGAATCTTTCTCTCAGCATAGTCTTCAAGCATAATATTTGCCAGACACTGTAGGTAGCCCATTCAGCAGCCACCAGGCTGCCACCTTCCTTGCTGGTGGAGCTACCCCCCACACCCACTTTTTAATTTTTTTTTTTTTTTTTTTTTGAGACAGAGTTTCACTCTGTCACCCAGGCTAGAGTGCAGTGGCATGACCTCAGTTCACTGCAACCTCCATCTCCCAGGTTCAAGTGATTCTCCTGCCCCAGCCTACCGAGTAGCTGGGATTACAGGCATGTGCCACCATGCCTGCCTAATTTTTGTATTTTTAGTAGAGACGGGGTTTTGTCATGTCGGCCAGGCTGGTCTTTAACTCTTGACCTCAGTGATCTGCCCACCTCAGCCTCCCAAAGTGCTGAGATTATAGACGTGAGCCACTGCGCCTGCCTGGAGCTACCTCTTTTTATTAAGCTTGTGAAAAGCACCTGCTCATCTTCTCAGCACTTCACGCAACCAGGAGGATAGAATTTGACTCAATCCTGGTCAATGGGTAAGAACTAAGCCCACCAAGAACGTCTGATTTATGTCTGATTGGAAGGTCAGAAAGAATCTGTCAGTGCCGAGACTCCGAATTAAACACTAAACTGCCACTGAGCCTCTTGCAGTGGAAAGGTCTTCTATCTGCTCTTACATGCTTTTGTTTTTTTCTATCATTTGCAGCCAAAAGCAACTTTTCAATACAGGTACAAACTCTACTGCTGTGTTTACAAGCTTCCTGGAAATTATGTGACTTGTACCTCCTTTTGCTATAAAAAGCACCTTGATTTATGGCAGTGTAGTTTTGCTGTCTCCTCTGTATTCGGTGACAATATTAATCAATTTTGAATAGGAAAGCTACATGTGGCAGTTGTTCTGAGAAATCCCTATTGCTTTACCCAAGAAGTCATTGTGCTTTGAAAATGACACAAGAGCTCTGAAAGGTTCATGCGACTGTTTCATAAAGTTTCAGAATGGGCAGCACACTAGGAACAAATGCATGTCAGAACCAATACAATCCACCTGACAGGGCGTATAATACCTTCTAGATATTTTCAGGTTTTAACTCACAATCATTTATCCCAGCATGAATGTCTATACTATATGTGCACTGGGCTCAATGTTTAAAAGTCAGTATTGACTTTGATGGCATTATTCTAAATTGTAGCAATGATATCATTTTTTAATCACAACTTCCATGTGTTTGAGCCATTGATCCGTTTTGTGATTCAGGGATCTAACACAACACAATAGCCAAACCTGAAATTGCAAATGCAATGAACATACACAGTAACGCACAAAGGAAGAATATCAGAAAAATAACACCTTGTCAGCCGGGCACAGTGGCTCACACCTGTAATCCTAGCACTTTGGGAGGCTAAGGCGGGTGGATCACGAGGTCAGGAGTTCGAGACCAGCCTGACCAACATGGTGAAACCACGTCTGTACTAAAAATACAAAAATTAGCTGGCCATGTTGGTGCGTGCCTATAATCCCAGCTACTCCAGAGGCAGAGGCAGGAGAATCGCTTGAACTTGAACCTAGGAGGCAGAGGTTGCAGTGAGCCAAGATCATGCCACTGCACTCTGGCCTGGGCGACAGACTGAGATACCATCTCAAAAATAATAATAATGAAAATGGGCATGGTGGCACACACCT